TTAGTACGAGGTGCCTTTGGAGGACTCGCGATGGCTCGTCGCGGATTGGAGGCTCCTTGTAGCGAGTGGCGGTGCCAGCATCGTGCTCGCGCGCGTTTGCAGGTGATCCCGCTATCTGATTGGCGCGGTTTGTACGTTTGTGATTTTTGCTTCGTGCGTGTGCTGTGCCCGGTGCGGCACGCTGCGCCTCGCGTGCTTGGCCTGCCGCTGGTTTGCCCGGCGCGCGCGCGGCGCGCGCGCGCGTTGGTCGAGGGCGGCCCTCGATTTGTTTCGTTTCTGTTCCCGGCCCTCCTGCGCGTCAGGTCCTCGCTTGCGCTTTTCGCTTCATGCCTTCTGTTTGTCTCTCCTCTCCTCTTCTCCCCCTCCTCTTTCTGCTCTTTTTTCTTTCCGCTTCGTTTCCTCATCTTCCATCCCCTTTTATATTGCGTGGTATGTATTCGTTTTGTGGCCGCGCCGCGGCAATTTCAGCGCGCCCTTCGCGCCGCGCGCTGTTCGTTATCCCCGAGCGATTTGTTTTTGAAAGTCCCTGTGGTGCGCACCGCGCGCCAGTGCCGCGACCAGTCTAGCGCGCCCATCGCGCGGTTCGCGGCCCCATGTGCAACCCTGCCGACGCGATGTGGTCGCGCGCCGCCTCCCCGACCATTCCTGATCAACGTTCGCAGGTTTCGTGGCCCCACGAGGAGCTCGACCGAAATCCCGCAGAACACAAGCCGCACGCCGCGGCCCAGATTATTTGAGGCCGCCCATCTCGCGGTTCGCGGCTCCATATTCTTGGAATTCCATCGACGACCCCCGCGGCGCAGGCCGGGCGCCGCGCCCGGGTCACTTCGTTTCACCCGCCACGCCATTCGTGTCCCCATATGGAACACCACCTGATGCGTTGCGGCATAGGCCGCTGGCCACCGCCCAGACCATGTCAGCTCATTCAGAACACGATTCGCGCACCCCCGGGGAGGAGATCTACATTTTTTTTCCGCACCGGACGCGTGCCACCGCGCAGACCGTTGCAACGGGCCCATCGAACGGTTCGCGGCCCCATACGCAGTCCCCCAAGGGTTTTGTCGCACAGGGCGCATGTTGCCGCCCAGACTCTTTCAGATCGCTTGTCATGTGTTTCGTGGCGCAAGTAAAAGGGTTCCGCCGAAGACGCTTGCGACGCAGGCCGCGCGCCGCCGCCCAGACCATTTCAGCTGTCCTCACGCGATCTGTGGCCGCATTCGGAAACTCCACTGAAACGTTTTCAGGCACAAGCCGCACGCCGCCGCCCAGACCATTGAGCACGCGCCCCTCGCACTTCGTGGCCCCATATGGAACCCCGCCGAAAGCATTTGCGGCGCGTGCCGCATTGCGCCGTCCAGACCATTTCAGCAACATTGCTCACGTGCTCAGTAGCCAAATTTGGAGCGCAGGCCGCATGCCGCCGCCCCCAGCCAATTCAACGTTGCCTCTCGCGGTCCGTGGGCCCATGCGGAGTTCCACCGGACAATGTTGTGGCGCAGGCTGCTCGCCGCCGCCCGTGCCACTTCGTCGCAGTCTTCGCGCGGTCGGTGGTTTCGTGGGGGGCTCCACCGAAGGTCCTTGTGGTAGATTTCGCATGCGGACTCGCGCGTGTCGGGCGGTCTTGTCTTTTTTTCGCACTGCGTTCAGACATGGTTGGCTTTTCGCAAGGTTGTTTTTGCTTCGGAGGGGCAAAAAGAAAATGCGGGCAAATGGGCCAGCACGATAGGCAGGAGCGACGACCAAGGTCATTATTGAAGGATGATGCGGGCGAGGGGCGCCTCCGATGATTGGCGCTCAGACTACGCTGTTTCCAGCCTTTGAGCGAGCAGTATCTCCCAGTTACATTCTATTCAGGCGAGGCTCGGAACTGACACTGTGGGCGGACGGCGCTGGGTGAAGGATCAACGAGGGAGGCGTAGGGGCAGAAATGAGGGGGGGAGGGGCAGAGACGGGGGCGGCGGGCAGGGCTGGGGGTGGGGGCCAGAGGGCTTGCGGGGGAGCCCATTGGAGGCACCGCGAGGGCTCCCATGGGCCCGCGGTGGGTCCGGACTCCCCCCCCCGCGGTGGGTCCGGACTCCCCTCGGCATTGTTTTTTTGACACGTCTGAGAAGACTGCCGAGGGGGGTCCGAACCCACCGCGGCCCCCATGGGCGCTCCCGCGGCGGTGGGTCCGGACTCCCCTCGGCAATGGTTTTGGACATGTCTGGGGGGCCTGGCACGGGCTCGGCAGGGCCCCTTGGGGCCTTCGATTCTGTTGCGACTGGGGATCCAAAGCGCCGTTTGGGTCCCAGAGTTGTCGTGTCGTTCGGGGTGTGGGCGGGGGAGTATGTTGCCTCCAGATTACGCCACACTGGGTGCGCGAGAATGAGCTTGTGGAGCCTGAGCGGGGCCTGCAGTGGGCCGTCCTGGAGCTGTTTTGAAGTCTTGTAGCAGTGTCATGTTCGGATTTCGTGTTTTTTCTTTCGGTGGGCATCTTGGCGACTTGGCGACTCTCTGGCGCCCAATGTGGATCCATGAGCCGTATTGGAAGCCCTGGGGTTGCATTGCAGCGGACTCCGTTTGCCTTCGCGCCGTCGTTCGCACGCCGTGGGAGCGACGCGGAGGCAGTTTAACCAATCGAAGAGTAATGTGAAGGAGCTGTTGGAGGCCGTAGTTTTTTTCTTAATCCTCCAGTCCGTTGGGTCTTCGTTGGGAGCCCGGAGCGCTGAGCGCCTCATCTCTTGCCTTCCCCCTCCTCTACCACCGCCTCTTCCTCCAGACCGCTTCAGTCCGTCATCATCTATCCTCTTTTCTCCTGTGTGGTCGGTCTTCGCTGAGGAGTCTCCGCCAATGCAGTTTCCGCGCACCTCTCGAACGATTCGTGGCCCCATAGGGCTTCGCCGAAGGCCCCTGTAGCAAGGGCCGCTCCCTTCTGCCCGATGCCAATTCAGCGCGCACCCCGCGCGGTTCGCGGGTCCTGAAAGGGCGTTGCACCGAAAATTCTCGTAGCAAAGGATGCGCACCGCCCGTCCAGACCACGTCAGCGCGCCCCTCGCTCGATTCGCGGCCCCATAGGATAGCATTCCGAAGGCCTTTGCAGCGCAGGCCACTTGCCAACGCCCAGACAATTCCAGCCCCCCCCTCGCAAAGTTCGCGGCCCCATTGGGAGATCCACCGAAGGTCTTTGTAGCGCAGGCCGCCCGCCGCCGCCCAGTCCACCCGGGTTCTTTATTCGCGCGGCTCGTGGCCCCGAAGGGGGCCTCGCCGAAGCTTCTGGTAGCGCGGGCCGCATGCCGCCGCCTTGACCGCTTCAGGTCTTTTTTCGCCCCGTTCGTGGCGCCATAGGAAGTTCGGCCGCCGACCAGCAGACATGTTCAACGCAATTCTTGCGCGAGCCGCGGCCTCGTGGAGGTCTACGCCGAAGGCTTGTGTTGCGCGCGCCGCGCGTCGCCACCGATAGCATTGCGGCGCACTTTCACGCGGCTCGTGGCCCCACAAGATGCAACACCGAAGGTTTCTGTCTCGCTGGCTGCTTGCCGCCGCCCAATCCAATCCAGCACTCCCCCCTCGCGCAGTTCGGTGCCCCATAGGGAGCTCGGCCGAAGTTCTTTGTCCGGGTGCAGGCCGCATGGCGCTGGCCAGACTATTTCAGTTCATAGTTTTTGCAGTTCGGGGTCCCATGCGGCGCCCCGCCGAAGGCTTTTGCGGCGCAGGCCGCTTTGCGCTATTTGGACTATGTCAGCACGCCCTGATACGGTTCGTGGCCCCACAGAGAGCGTCACCACATTGGTTTTGAAGCACAGGCTGCTTGCAGCCGCCCAAACCATTGCAGTTTTTTCTTCACGCTGTTCGCGGAGTCATGGGGAGCTCCACCGAAGGCCCACGTAGTACAGTCAGCGCAGTCTTCGCGCGGCCCGTGGCCTCCAAGGAGGGTGCACCGAAGGTTTTTGTGGCAGAGTCCGCATTCACACTCGATGTGCTGGCGTGCGTCGCATACGAATTGCGTTCTCAAAAACGGTTGGTTTCGTCGCAAGAGTGAGTATAGGTGAATATGTGCGGGGTTCGTCGTGAAGTTTTCCCGTGAACGTGTAGAACTGCGCCCCGAAAAGAAAACGAGTTTGGCGTTTGGACGGCCAGCAATGTAAGTCATGCCGAAGTTGCAACGCGCACTCTCTTGAGCTTAGCATGAGGGGCGCCTCCAACGTCAGCCCCGATCTTGGGCAAGCCACGCGCGGCGCTGCAGACATTCCGCAAGACCTACTTCACCACAAGTATGCGTGAGGACCGCTTATAGTGGTACACACCTGCAAAACGCGCAAGACAACACAATTGTTTTGTATCGCGTCGCGACCACAGTATTACATTGTGGACCAGCAAAACACATTACATGACAGCAACACCGTAGCACATGATGCAGCCAGCCCTGACTACCCTCGGAGGACGCGGTGGGTTCGGTCCCGATTGCTTCGTAGTTACTCACTTTCTCCTTCTTCCTCCTCGCCCCTCTCCGCTGCCTGTCCTTCCCGCGAGCTCCGCCGCGCCCCCGGCGCCCTCCCCCCCTTCTCGGGGCGGGGGGCTGGGCAGCGAGCGAGCGAGCGAGCGGCGGCGGCGGCGGCGGAGCGGCGGCGGCGGCAGCGCCGCCGTGGCTCAATTCCCTTCCCCCCTCTCTGCCCCTCCCCCCGCCGCCCCCCAGCGATGGAGCAACGCAGGATGGGGGGGGGAGGGGGGGGGGGGAAGAGGAGGTGGAGGAGGAGGAGGAGGAGGACAACGACGACGACGAGGGACGAGGGGGACAGAAGGACGGGGACAGCATGGGTCGCAGGTGCCGTCGGCGCGGCACTCTGCACAGCCCCCCCCGCAGCCGCTTGCCGTGCTCAGGGGCTTGTCGTCCAGACAATCCGCTATTGTATCGTGTCTTCCATATCAGTCCATACTTTTCCATGTGCATGGCCGCCGCGCCGCTCCGGAGGGGTCGGCTTCCTCCTGCGAGTTTCTGACGGGCAGCGGTGTGCCAATTTCAGGTGGTGGCCTTCGTGGAAAAGCCGCGCCCGGATGGAGGCTTCGGTCTTCAGTCCATCTCAGACTTCGCGTCCGTCTTCAAAGAGTCGGACTACGAGGACAACGTGGGCCAAGACATCCTTCAAGATGTGCAGCAACACAATGAGTTCCCAGTCGTCTTCATAGCGAGGCGTCGGACAGCTTGGCAGCTCGCCGGGGGCGAGCTTGCCAAGGCGTGCAAAAAGCGCGTCGAGGGAGCTCCCGATCCCGACTGGGATACCCCCCTGGGCCAGGAGGAGGAGGACAAGCGTAAGGATAAATTCAAGCGCGCGTGCGACGACTACCGGTTGGGCCCTGAGGCCACGCCGACTCCCGCTCTCGCGGGGCGGTGGCGCCGTGAGTTTCGTTCAGCGGCCCGCCATGTTAGCCTCGCTCCTCTGGCCAAGGTGCGCTCTGAGGCTGATGTGCGTGTGCAGGGCAAGAATCGGCAAGAAACCCTTTGGCGGCGTCGCCCTGGCGTGCAGCCCGCGGCCGCGCTTGCCCGACCTGCCCCTTTCGACGGCGCTCCGCGTGCTGTGGGCGCTGCGCCTCCAGTGCAACTGCTGGGCCATCGCAGGCGCGAGCCTTGTGGGGTCGAAGCAGAACTGGGGCGAGGAGAAGCGAGCGTGCAGGAAAGTCCGCGAGTGCCACGTGTCAGACGCGCAGGCATATTATGACTTTGTGTATAGAAAAGCGATGGAACACAAGGGTCCAGAGCCCGCTACTGTTGCTTGGCTGATCGACCGCGACCGCGCCGCACGGGCCAAGGCCAAGAGCCTTTGCTCCGCTGGCTGGCCGTGGGCAGAGGCGCTTCAGGGTGCGAAAGACTTGCGTAGTACTATAACGTGCTCAGGCACAGGAGTGTCGAGGCAGGTGTCTGTCGCGATGCCCGCCAATGACGAGCCGGAGTCCGACGGGGATGACTGCGACCAGGGTGGCGCGGCCCCGCCGCGGCCGCGCCGAGCGCCGGCGCCAGGCCTCGGCCCAGAAGGCGGGTGGGTCCTCCCAGCAGCCGCCGCCGCCGCCCCAGCCTAAGAAGCCGTGCTGCTCACGTTTCAACGGCAGTATGGGGTGCGCGCAGAGGGGCCGCGACTGCCCGGACGGGCTGCCCCACCTCTGCAACCAGTGCGGGGCGTGGAGCACGGCGCGTCCACGCGCGCGAGGCGTGGCTGACTGGACCCCGAAGCCGCCGGGCCTTGCTCCCTCCAGCCTGCTTCCTTGCATGATGCGCCGTCGCCGCGCTCGTTCGCGAGTGTAACATCCATCCGGCGTCTCTAGCTCCTCCGCCCGTTATCTTTCACTTCTCGCTCCGCTCAAGAGCATGTCTCCCTTCCTGCTTCCCCCTCCACCTCGGTCCACCTCCCTCGCCGGAGCTCTCCGGGGCAGGCCCAGAACTGTCGCGCCTGGCGACCGCGGGCAGATCTGGTGGCTCTCGACCCCGCCCGGGGAAGCGGGCGCGCAGGCGGGGCGGGCGGGGTGGGGGAAGGCGCTGCGGCGGGGGAGGGGGGGCGGGGGAAGAGGGGGGCCAAGGGCGCATAATGTGCCACCTTGGGCGTTCGCGAGAATAACTGGCCCTGGGGCGCGTCGCGGGCCAGTTTTTCATTTGCGTCGCTGCGCCCCGCCGAGAGCGTTCCGGGGCATCTCCGGATCTCCCCGAGAACCTCCGGGGGCCCAGAGGCGCCCGCCCCAGAAGATACGGATACCTTCGCGTTCGCATCTTCCGGTCTGGGGCAGATGCCCCCCCCTGTGGCGTGAGCTCCAGGGTCCGTCGTGGCCCAGCGTCTGGGCCCCTGCAGGCCGCCGTCGAGGCCGCCGCGTCGTCTGAGGCCGGCGCCGTTAGTGATGCGCACTTGCCGCTCAGTCGAATCCCGCGGGTACTAGCGCGGGGCTGGCGCGAGGATGCCCGCGCGCGTGCCGCCGCGTGCATTCCGGCGCCCCGTTCCCTTGCCATGCCCCCTTTCGCTCCCGCCTGCGCCGCCGCTTGCTGCAGAGGGGGCGCGCGATGCCTTGGGCCCGCCACGCGTGTGTGTGTGTGTGTGTGTGTGTGTGTGTGTGTGTGTGTGTGTGTGTGTGTGTGTGTGTATGTGTGTGTGTGCGTGTGTGCGTGTGTGCGTGTGTGTGTGTGTGTGTGATTTCTTTGTGCGGCGGGATAGGGGCAGTCTTCGTGGCTGCCGCGCTCTTGTCGCCTAAGATTGTTGATTTCGCGTGCGTGCGCCAGGGGCGCGCGCGCGCGAATTTTGCAGCGCCAAGCGCCCGGGTGTGCTTCAGGGGGCTGATTTGCGCAAGGTGGATTTTGGATCCATTGCGACCCGCGTGGGCGCGTGCAACCCAGACGGGGTCCTGCTTTTCGTGGCCCCCCCCCCGCCATGGAGTGCGCGGGCTCCAGCGGTGCTACTAGGGATTTCTCGGGCGGAAGGTCTTCCTCGATCTCCGAATTCGTGCGGGCCCGGGATGCAGCGGCAGAGTGCTGCCGAGACTTCACTCTCTGGTGGGCCGTTGAAGAGAGAGCGCCCATGTCAGCAGAGAGCCGCCGTGAGATGTCTGACCAGTTGGGGTCTCAACTGGTGCTGTTTCACGGCGCGGATGTCGGGTGGATTCAGAGACCGCTCTTGTTTTGGGGCGTGCCGGTAGACGGCGCAACCGGCAGCGCGAGCTCCAGGCTTGCCAATATTGACGCTGTCGTCCCAGGTCGCGCCTCCAACGACGTCCACGTTGCGAGGTGGCGCGGCCCCCATTCGCCGCCTTCTCGGGGACCAGAGGGGGGTTGGGAGTGGAGATTCCGGTCGGAATCGGGCAGGGCTGACGTCGAGGCGCCTCGATGCGCGCCGCCAGCCGCTGCAGTCGCATTCCCGCGGAAACGTGTTGTGGCAGGGGGTCGCGCTTCCCGCCCGCTCGCGGTCGAAGAGTTGGAGCGCTTGCGGTTTCCCGGCGGGCTATGCGCCCGCCCTCCGGCCCCTGCGTGGAGTGGGCAAGCGGTCGTCCAGGCTGCGCGCGTTTGGCGCATGCGCCGCACGTGCCCACGCTTGTAGCGGTGATGTGTCTGCTCTTCCACCCAGCCCGTGGTTTCGACGCGCCGCCGTCCGTGTCCCCGCCGGCGTGGACACGACGCGAGGTTGAGACTTGGGTGGCGGTGGTTTTCGCGGACGCCCCCTGGCATCCGCAATGCCGTGCGCCAGATCTGCGTGGCGAGTGCTCTCTGCGAGTCTTCCAGGATGCGTTGGCGTTGTTCCCGCCGGAGTTTTTTACGCCTATCTCCGACGTGGTCGCAGAGGCAACGTCTCGCGTCAGTGCGCTGGACCTTAGTTCTCTGACGAACTTCGAGGTTTTTCTGGCTCGCATCGGAGCGCCCCAGGCTGCGGGTCCCTGATGCGCAGGCATTGGTCGAATCCCCGATGCGCGCATCTGCTGCGAAGCAACGCCGGCCCTCCGCGTCCGACCGCGCCTGGCAGGGCCTGGCGGGGCACGGTGTTGGGCCTGGGGAACGCGTGCGTCGCAGTTGGGCCATCCTATCGCTGCGCCGCCAGATCTCGAAGCATATTCGAAATTTGCGGTCTGTGCCAACGCTGTTTGGGGGCCTCGCGCCGGCGCCGGAGGCGCGAGCTGCTCCAGCAGCTGGCCGCCGCCCTTCGCCCGCTCGATGCCTTTGCATGGAAGCGGCGGCGCGTGTCCGCGCCGGCCGCGCCGGGTGTCTCCCCGGTCTGTGCTGCCGCGCTCATCTGCCTGCTGGGCTGGCAAGACCGTAGTCTGCCGCGTTGTCTCGTGCGCGGGTTCGAGCTCGCGGCGGCGGCGCCGGCGCCCGGGGTTCTCCGGCCCTGCGGGACAAGGTCCCCAGGGCAGAAGGAACCAGCCCAAGTGGGCGAGACACTCAGAGGGCCAGCCGCGGCAGCGCGCGCTCGGAACCTGGGGCGCGGCATGCGGCCTGGGCAGTTGACTCGCGTGATCTACGATCTCACCGTCGAGGAGATCCGCGCTGGCTCGGCGGGGCCTTTCGTGAGCCGCGCCGACCTCGACCGGCGATTTGGCGTCGGGGGTTGCCGGCCCTCGCCTCGTCGCGCTATCTGGCAAGGCGAGATGTGGCGACTGATCGATGACGGGAGGCGTGCTCGCACCAATGCTTTGTCATTCGTGTCCGAGACGTTGGTCGCGGCGCCGTCGGAACTGCTTGTGCTACCCGCGCGCGCCTTTGCAGTGGAACCGGTTGGGGATGGTGGGAGTTGGCCCCCGTGGTTCGTGCTGCGAGCCCCCCTTGAGGACTGGTGGAAAGGCTGCAGACAGCTCTTCCCCGCCCGCAAGGACATGGCTATCGTGGTCGTCGCCCTTCTCCACCCAGATGCGCGCGAGCCCTTGTGCAGCGTTCTGCGCGGTCTTTCCTTCGGCCTGGGGTCAGCGGTGAACCAGTGCAATCGCGCTCCGCTGCTCCTCGCAGCCGCTGCCAGTCGCTTGCTGTACATAACGACTACGTTGGCGGCAACTTCATTCTTGAGGTTGCTGCGACGCGGGGGGATGCGCGCGGCTCGTTTAATGCACTGGCCGCAATGTTGGGCGTGAAACTGTCCGACTCTAAGAGGGTGCCTCCCGCGTCTATGTTGGCCTCCTTTGGCCACCTGCGCGACCTCTCTGCCGCCCTCGCAGACTCCTCCAGTACTTTCGAGCCCAAAATGGGATCCCGGGAGAAGTTCCGCCTCGAAGTTTTGGAGATATTTTGGAAAGGGCGCTTGCTGCCGGGCGAGGCCGCCCACCTTCGCAGCGCTTGCAGTTAGCTGGGCGCGTCCTTAGCAGGGCGCCCCTGCCGCGGAGCACTGTCTGCCCTTGCAGCTGGGCAGTATTGCGAGCCCATGCAAGACTTGACAGACAATCTTTCTTGTAGTCTCCAGTGCCTGTTAGTCGTGGCAGATTTTGCGTTGCCTCGGACTCTGTCCTTGCGCCGCCTAGCCCGGTTTCCCGTGGTAGTGTGCTCGGGTGCTTCGGCGGAGGGTGGTCGTGTTCGCATCGGGGCGCTTGTCCTCGCGCGCGGGCGCTGGCCCGCCTACCTGGTGTGTGACGTCGCCGAACGGACGTTGCCACTTCTGGGTTTTGCCGGCGCGTCCGGTACGATTAACCAAGCGGAGTTCTTTGCAGCATTTGTTCAGGCGTGGCCCATGCCAGACGTCTTGAGAGGGGCAGACGTGCTTTGGTTCATCGACAACCAGGCGGCCGAAGCAGCACTCGTGAAAGCGGGATCGCCAACTGAACCCATGTGCCGCCTGGCCCTGCAGGCCGCAGCGGCGCTTGTCGCTCTCGGGTCGCGTCTATGGTTCGAGCGAGTGCCGTCGGATGATAACCTGGCCGATGTCTTGAGCCGCGCGGGGCATGAGGACTCCATGGTAGCTGCTCACGTCTCGTGTGGGCGTTGGATTGCAGTCCCGCCGCAAGGGCCGGATTCTGACGGGCTGGAGTTCCAGCGTCTGTTCTCTGCGCCTGCGTGATGGTCTCCAGGGCCGGCGCCTCTACGGTCGCCGAAAAATCGCAGTCGGCATCATGTCGTCATTTGCCTTTGCTCATGTCTACGCCGCCCCTCCAGCAAGACGTGAATTCCTCAAACAGTGCTTGCACGAACCAGCGATCTATCACGACGCCTCTATCTTTGACCATGGGGGCAGCGAAGGGGAGTCCTCTCGTTTCGTCCAGCGTTGGGGGTCATCTCATCTTGGCCTGCTCGTTCCTGCGGGGGTTGCAGCCGTGGGGCCCCCCGTTCCCTCTTCATGTCAAATATTGCAGCTAGGGCACCGCCCCTCTTCTGTCTCCATCCTGGGCGGTTGTAGCAGCATCAGTTATGGGAAGGAGGGGTAGGTTATGATTGATATTCTCCTTGGGAGTGGGGTGGCAGAAAATTCGCCACATGACGCAGGGAAGGCACGTGGGGAAGCGAGGGGCGGTGGTCACGAGCATGTTCTCTTCTTCCCCTCCTCCCTTCAGCGGGCTCGAGTGGCGCATGCTTTTCCCACCCCCTTCCCCTTCCCACTCGCCCCCCCAGTCATATCGACCGTTTGCCGGTGCGCCTAGCACCCGGCGGGTCCATGCCCCCCTGGGCGCCGCGCGGGCCAGGTGGCCCACCTGGTACCGGCGACCGTTCTGGGATCGGGCGCGCCACAAAGGGCGCGCAGCGCAGCTTCTTGCCTTCCCGCGAGAAGCCGCGCTGCCTCGATGGGGGGTCGTCTCATCTTGGCCTGCTGGCCCCTGCTGGGGTTGCAGCCGTGGGACTCCCCGTCCCCTCTTCATGTCAAAGATTGCAGCTAGGGCGCCGCCCCTCTTCTGCCCCCATCCCAGGCGATAGTGATGATGATGATGATGATGATGATGATGATGATGATGATGATGATGATGATGATGATGATGATGATGATGATGATGATGATGATGATGATGACGATGATGATGATGATGATCACGATGATGATGATGCTGCTGATGATGATTATGATGGGGATGATGATCACGAAGCTGATGATTATGATGATATTGGTGGTGATGGGGATGCCGGTGGTGATGGGGGCGAGTGATCCGATAATTATGATGATGCTGATGTTGATGGTTCTGGTCATGGTGATGCTGGTTATGATGACGCTGATGCTGCTGATGCTGCCATTGTTCCTGATGATTATGATGATGCGGAGGAGGAAGAAATGGAGGAGGGCGAGGAGGAACAGGGGGAGGAGGAATAACCGGAGGAGGCGAGGAGGAGGAGGAGGAGGAGGAAAGGGAGGACGAGGAGGATCAGTGGGGGCCAAGGAAGTACACCAGCATAACTTCGCACGTGTACGGACGGATTTGCCGCCTGCGCTTGACCTTTTCCTCACGTGGCGTAGCTGGGTGCAGGGAACAGGGGGGAGGAGGCGCAGAACCAGTAATTCCCGATGGTGCAACGGTCAGTGCGGCATTTGTCAATGCGATTTTCGTTCGATCCGAAGCGCAAGTTTATCTCCGAATGAACACGTTTACCATATATTTCATCCTTCATTCGAATCCTCAATCTCCTACCTCCGGTCGTTCGGCGGTCTGTTGGCATGCCAAGGCTGCTGCTGTTGCGACCCCAGCATGGGGCTCAGGGTCGACGTGTTCCGCCACGGAGACGGGATTTACTATGGCAAGATGAGCACGAAGGTGCCTCTCTGGTTCGACCGGTTGTTCAACGCTTCTTTCGAGCCAGGGGATGTGATTGCGCAGAGTATTCAGATGCGCTGTTGCGATTATCAGCCTCCGCGAACGCAGCGGGAAAAAAGGGTCCATGAGTTCAATGCGTTTAGCGCCTGAGGCGGGCTATAACTTGTTGTGGAAGCGAGGGCAGACAAAGCAGTGTGCAAAATAATTGTTGCGCAAACTGGTTCGTGTCCAGTTTTTTTCCATGGGGTTCTACCTCTTGCTCGTTCGTGGTAAAGAGCATATGAGCAAACAAGCTGACATCATCGGGGCCACGCCTACCGTTTCAGGTGCGGTGGTGGATCTTCGGCGTGTTTAAGATTGATCGGCGATATGGCAACGCCGAAAGCGTGTACAATTTGGTCGTGCGCGTGCTCTCCAGGGATGTGTCCGACCTGGATATTCAGCTGCCTTCGGCAAATTCGCCCCCGTGCCAGGGGGGTAGCCAGGGAAGAGGGGGGAGGTAGTGGACAGGGGGAACCCAGAGAATTTTCCCGACACACCAAAACGTGCCAGTGAGCATGGTGCCGGATCCAGAGCGACTACCCCGGCAGAAATTTCGATTTGAAGGCAGATGGCCCCATCTGCTTTGGTGTCGAGAGCTTGTCTGACGGCAGGCCGCACATGGGCATAGATGAGAAAGGCTTCTGGTGGAAACCCCAGGAAAAGGTGGCACCTGTCGATGGGATGCTCAACGTGAGGGACAGCCACATTGCCAACACTTATGGCAAAATGGAAGAGACGCCGTTATTTGTCTGGTCTTTTGTCGAGCGCGGCAAAATCATGAGCCCTTTCGATGCCTACAACGACATCCTCATCACAACAGATCGCGTGAGACTGCATAGCCAGGTTTATTGGAAGTTCTTGGACTGTCGGACCTGCTGGTGCTGGGGGGCCTGTTGGTGCTTCTGTCTCCGACGGCTGCTGTGGCGGATTGCAGCCAATGCGCAGCTGCCAAAGAGCCGGTCTTTCCTGAATTTCACACATCTCACGTCTTTTGCTACGGAGACCGTAGTGACGCCCTCGCGCGTGTGGCTCAGATGCCCTTGCTTCATTTCCTGCTGCGCCGCCTGCACAGCCTGCGTGCATTGCAAGCGAAGCATGTGCCCCGCCCGTGGGGAATGCTGCGGCTGCCCGCGGGAGGAACCGCCCAAAGTGCAGCTGTGGCTGCTCTTCCTGCAGAAGTGGTCCCAGGCCAGGGATCATTTCGACTCCTCCGACTCTATTTGATTCGATGTCTAACAATTCCGATTCCGATTCGATTTGTTTTCGGATTTTGATGTGTATTCCGGTTTCTCAATCGAGGCCTCACTCGCTCCTGCGGGTTTCTGCCGATTCGGTTTCTCCAGACATGGCTACCGATTTCCGCCGATCCGATTCGTTTCGATCGCCGATCCGGTTTATCGATTCGATTCTTGCCTCTCCTGCAGGCGGTTCAGGCCGACATGGTGTTGTCCGTGCGGCCCTACAAGCTCCCGGAGCTCGAAGGCTGCGATGATGCGCGCCAGGGACAGAAGAAGCACGCTGACACACCAGAGGTTCAGGAGTTGCGCAACCTGATGCGCGCAGTCCTCAGGAAGAGGGACGAGAAGGACCGCATGCTGAAGGGCGAATTGGACCAGCCCGACAGCGACGAGGAGGAACCGCCTCCAGAGTGAGGCTCGGCACGTATGCGTTGGCCACGGTGTGGGTGGAGGAGTGCAACGTGTGGGGACGACGGGGGGCTTTGGAGCGAGGGTTAGACTGTGGGGAGGGGATGCGGTGTGTGTGTGTGGGAGAACGACGTGGGGGGAACCGAGGTGCACAGGAGACCGTGCAGCGAGTCTTGAACTTGAAGAGTTCAGAGACCCGCATGCGTCCTATTTCTTTGCTGGCTCTGCTCAAGCTGTAAGTCGGGCCTGTCCCTCTACAGGAGGAATATTCAAAAATAGTTAAAAAGCAGTATGGGGACGATTTTTTCGAATAAGTTTTGATTATTCTAAGGTATCAGATTTTGCATTTTTCATCCAAAATCCGCCTGTAGGGGGACATGCCCGACCTAACTCAAGCTGGGGCCCGCGTGACGCACGGCGGGTGTTGAGATTCCTGGCCACCTTGCCCCCGACAACGAATCGGGGCTGCGATGGTGCAGTGCGGTCTGTGGGCAAGATGAGAGTAAAAAACAGATGAAGGATCAGAACTTGCGTTCGTTCTGTAAACATTGACCTTCGCGATATGCTCTCATGCCGTCCTTGTTTCCTCGCGGCCACAGATGCGTTTCGTTTCCCTGGGCTCTGAATCGTTCCCTAGTGCTACCTGCATTGACCAGGCTCTCCAATAGCTTCGATGAAGGTGGGGCGCTGATTCCGCAGGGTACAGTAGTTCTAGTCTTGAGGATGATGAGAGTGAGGCTGGGGGCGAGAATGAGGAGACAGAGGATGGCGTGGATGAGCAGCAGCTTGAGAAATGGGCCCCCTTGTTCTGCACAATATTTGTCTTTCTAGAGCATGCCTGTCTCCTGTGCCCATTCGGACGCCATGGCGCGGGATGCGGATAGTTGGTTCTCCTCTCCAGCCGAATATGGTCCCGCCTCGTCGGTTGCTTGTTCTCGGCTTGCGTCCTGCCTGCCCGCTCCTCTCGTTCCTCGTCCGCCCAGCCTTGACTTATCTGCCTCTCACACGAGCCTGCTCGTGGGGAGTGTCGCTGCGCTTCCCAAAGCATCCCTTGGGACGTCTAGCTGGCGCGTGCCTGGGACGTGTACTTTGTGCAGGCCTTTCGGCCGGTTCCGCCGACCCAGAAGGACGACGACGACGACGACGAGAACGACGACGACGATGACGACGACGATGACGACGACGACGATAACCACGACCACGACCACGACCACGACCACGACGACGACGACGACGACGACCACGACCACGACCACGACCACGACGACGACCACAACCACAATGCCGAGCTGATGACCCTGCCACAAGCTCGAGACATGAAGCGGACGGTGGAGGTAGGAGTAGGAGGAGCAGGAGGAGGATGAGGAGGTGGAGAAGGAGGACGAGGAGGCGGAGGAGGCGCGTGCCTCGGGCATGTGTATTTGACATAATCCTTGCTGGACGTGGCGGTCAGCGGTGTCGGAGTCCTGCTGCCCTCTGCTGCATTGGGCGCCTCGGCGGTAGGCTTGGTAGTGGCTGTACCTGGAGGAGGAGGAGGAGCCGCAGGTTGAGGGGTGGGGAGCGGTAGTAGTAGGAGTAGGAGCAGGAACAGGCGTATGAGTATGAGTAGGAGTAGGAGGAGGAGGGAGAGGGAGGAGGAGGAGGAGGAGGAGGAGGAGGAGGAGGGGGAGGAGGAGGAGGAGGAGGAGGAGGAGGAGAAGGAGGAGGAGGAGGAGAACCAGTGTAAACCCAAGCATACATCCTCCCTCCAAGCTCGATCTTCATAGGCCCCTACAAGGGGTCATTTCCAATGAGGGAATTGCCCCTTGGGGGGAACAACCGTGTGTACGTCTTGAAGCGTGTCAAAACACTATTCTCAGGACCTCAGCGCCACGAGTTACCAACCTTTCCTGGGACATCAACACCGCAAATCAACGTAACTGTCGCGCCCTGACAATCCTCAAACGTTCCATAACATCATTTCTTGTACGTTAACCATGAGAACCAGTGAAACGGCTGCAAATGTCTGCGACGAGTGTTCGCGGCGCTAGGGCGAGAACCACATTTTGAAAACCACCCGCCCTCAATCCGTGAAGCTCTTGCAAGTGTTGAAAACGAATGTGCGCGGCGCTAAGGCGAGAGCCACATTTTGAAAACGACCCGCCCTCAGTCCGTGAAGCTCTTGCAAAATTTGGGACGGGTGTGTGCGACGCTAAGGCGAGCGCCACATTTTGAAAACCACCCGCCCTCTATCCGTGAAGCTCTTGCAAATGTTGAGAACGAGTTTGCGCGGCGCTAAGGCGAGAGCCCCATTTTGTAAACGACCCGCCCTCAATCCGTGAAGCTCTTGCAAAGTTTGAGAACGAGTGTGCGCGGCGCTACGGCGAGAGACACATTTTGAAAACGACCCGCCCTCAACCAGTGAATATCTTGCAACTTTTCAAAGCGAATGTGCGCGGCGCTACGGCGAGTGCCACGTTTTGAAAACCACCCGCCTTCTATCAGTGAAACTGTCGTCATTTCTAAGCATCAGGGTCATCAGTGGTGAGGAAGTTTCAGGCGAAACGCCCGGTCCGCCATTTCGAGCGGCCTCGGGGTGCGACAGGGAGGAGTTAACTATAAGGAACAGGAGTGGAGGAGGGAGAAGGAGGACGATGATGTGTACGGTCCTCCTCCCTCTCTCGCTGTCCCCTCTGGAAAATACCCTCGACAGCGCCTGGGGGTACCGCCGCCGCGTTCGCCGCGCCTGTCGGGCGCGTGCGAGCGCGGTGGGTGGAGCAGGGATAGCTGAGCAGTGCTGCAGCAGCAGGGGGGAGGATGAGGAGGAGGGTTTGGTCGGTCGCGTCGTTGCTATGGCATGCTTCGCTGCTGCACTTGGCAGTGGCCGTGGTCAACCGAACTGATCGGGAGGGTTAGCTTGTCATGCGTGCGGCCTCCCATTGTCGAGAGAGGACGAGGGGGGAGTCGGAGGAGAGGAGGAGAAGAGGAATCACTGGTGAATTCAACACCACCACCCCACCCGAAAGATGTGTGTGTGTGTGTGTGTGTGTGTGTTCGGTGTAATTCCTGGTGGGGGTGCTCGTACTGTCCGTAACGTTAGGAACAAAAGGGCTCCGTAAACCCCACCGTCCCCGAGTGAGGGAGATGGGGGGCTTCGGCCACCAGCCAGGGAAGAAGAGTTGGAGGAGGATGTGCATTGCCCAGCTTGTGCTGGAGAGGGGCTTCGCGCGAGGCACCACCGGCGCTCCAGGTCGCGGTCGCGGAGCCACGACCGCAGCCGGAGGAGGCGATGAGGCGCGCCGACGTGGCCCTCTCGAATATATGTGTTTTCACCGCTTTGAGAGAACCGAGAACCCCTGGAAGCGTAATTTCTCGGACGTCCGCGCACGTTGTCCTCGCCCCCCCCTCGCCATCCCTTGCTGCCGCGCCCCCAGCGCTGCCCCCCTGGCGCGCAGGGGAGGGGTGGCGAGGAGTGGTCGGCAGGGAGGCGTCGGTGACGCGCCGCCGTTGGGAGCCCCTCGGCGCGCTATGCACTCCTCCGTTGTCGCCTGAGGGCTCCGTGCTTCTCCTCGCGCGCTCGCACGCCCGAGACGGGCTCCCCACGGCGGCGGCGCCTCCGATGCCGGTGTTGCTCCCCCGATGGCTCCAGCGCTGGCGGAGAATACAACGACGCGAAGATCGGGACAAGATCGGATCGGGATAACTCGAAATCTCTGAGAATCGGCGGGTTTGGAGGATGTATTGGGCGCCGCGGCCGCTCCAGAGCGTTCCGGAACGCTCTGAGAGCGCTCTGGAACGCTCTGGAGCGATTTATCCCGATCTTAGCCCTGTTTTAGAGAAGCCGTCAGCGGACGTCTGGCAATTCATGCTCGTGTGGATTTTCGGTTCCCCGCGTCTGCAAATTCAGAGTTGCCTCGTGCATTCGCTGAAATGGCAAGTGCGGAGAAAACGTGTGCGCTGGGTGGAAGGGGACGGCTTGAAGCGGTACGCTTGCGAATCGCGCATGCGCGGCCGCCATCCAGCTTAGGAAGGCGACGGCCTCGGGGGTGGGATGGACAAGGGGCTCGATGCGTTCATTGCTGGAGTGCTTGGGCGTGCCCCCTCACTCCGCAGGCGGTGACGCAGACGCCCATGGCCCACACTGCACGTCCATTCTGGCAGTTTCGGCGATGCGGGGATGATCGGCGTCGCCCCAACCTATTGACACGATGTGTGCGTCGCCCTCTCCCCCAGGGGCGAGGCGCGCGCCGAGAAATCTCACAGTACCAGCTCCGTGGCGAGCGCTTTCTGGACTGCTCGGGAAACGATGCAGTATACCATGTTTGTGCTATATGTCCGGTTCGGACGGGCGCCTCCGAGGAGGGCGCACATTTCTACCACAGTCACATCGCATCACATAGATGCACGGTAAGGATGCCAGGGCCTTGGCAGGGAACTCGAAGAAGAGAAAACGCCATAAACAACAGCTTTTGGCGCTCCGCGCGGATTTTTTGGATCCGCGTTGGGCCCCCCCGGCGGCGCTTCCGGCGCCGCCCCTGGCGCGCTCCGCGTGCTGGGGAGGGGGGTCCGGCGCGGATCCGAGCAAACATATTAGATTTTCTGCATGATCTTCTGCGTCCCAGACGACAGGACCGATCCGTCGAGGTAACGAGCTGCCGACCCCGCGGTCGGACTCCTCTGGGGGCCCCTCTTGCGCGTTGCCGGCCTGGGGCAGTCTGCCGTCGAGGGAGAGCGCCCGCCGCACGCCTCGGTCCAGCTGCGGTCGGGAGGGGACAGATCGACACAGACACACACACACACACATAGGTCGGGGGTGGACAGAACCTCCGCCCTGACACGTCGATCAGTGAATTGTCCGTTTTCGGTTCTCGAGAGGGCGCTGCGGCCGTCATTTTCCAGGCTTGCGCGGCCCGAGGTCGTTTTCACTAGGCCACGTTTTGCTAGAGGATTTTCTGTCCATCCCCGAGTAGGCGTAGATTTCCCAGGAGAGGGATGTCGCCAAACGGGGGAAGTGGAGGGGAAGACGACCATCCACAACATACTCTGGGTTTCTAGATAAGCGTGGGCGGGTACCCCCCCGACGGGGGGTCAACCTTGCCTCGTCGTCGCTCCGCGACGGGTGTCGAAGCGCCTTCGGCGCGCGGTGGCTGCCCGCGACGGGGGTCGATGCGGGGCTGCCGGAGGGGGTGACGCCCCCCCGACGCTTATTAAGGAACTCGGAGTATGGATTTTTTTTGTGGTGTGAAGCTAAATAGGGGCACTAACTAGCAATTTGCCCAGCGAGCAAGGAGGGAAGGGGGACGGCCGACAGGAAGGAGGGACGCTCAGACGCCGAAGAGTTCGACGATGAGCGGCCGGGCAGGCAACAGCAGCTGGGTGCGCAGGGCCAGAGCGCGGTGGGTGGCCGTGGCGAACGACGGTGGCAATGGTGGCGAGGAGTGACAGTGAGTATGGAAACGCACGTGGGGAAACGTAGAATCTGTCTGCATATCTGGTTGGGCACCTCCTCTGTGCTGACTGGCAGGAGTCGTGGGAGAGACAGGGGCGCACTGCTTAGCAAACCCCTCCCGCCCATCTCGAAGACCCCAGGCCCCCCCCCCAAAAAATGTCACAGGCTCCTCCTCCTCCTTCTCCTCTTCCTCCTCCTCCTCCTCCTCCTCCTCCTCCCTGGTATCCAACGATATGATGAAAGACAAGGCCTTCCACTCCACGCGCACTAGTCACCTCCTGCCCTAGTGCAAGGTAGAACGGTGGGGGCCGGATTGCGGACGAGAGCATGCGACGTCACAACCTTCGCAACGTAATCACCGCCAGAAAGAGGGCACACAAACAATGTAATGATTTCAAAGCACATGCAGTGGGTCGAGGAGAAGTGTGGCGACGCGGGTGGCAGATCTAATATCATTGTGGGAAGGGGCATCAGCAGCCACTAGGGAATGCAAAGGTCAGACAGCAGGGATTTCGTGGTCAGCAGAAACAGTTCGGGCAAACATGCAGCATTGGGACCAGTGGCCAGGGAAGTGGGGAACGGCAGTGGTGCAGCATTCAGGGACATTTGTGTACACAGCATCTTGTCAGTGGTCACGACCTTCATTTATTGGGCGCCTACCTATTACGGCGTGTGAAGACGAGAAGATGAGGACGAGCAATATATATTTTATAACGATGCCGCCGGGGGCCCTTCCCCATGTGCGGAGGTGCGCTGCATGGAGAGGAGTTGCGCAACAAACTACATACTATCAGAGCGAAAGGGCACAGAGACCACATCCTTTTGGACATGGATATGGGACTGGAGCATCAATCTCGTTTCTCGAGCAATCACGGGCAGCGAAGAGCAGGCAATGCAATGGGCCGCGACGTGCTGATGAAGCGCCTGAGGAAAGGTCGCCTGATGGCGGACATCTTGAGCGCGTTCGATTGCCGCCTGCGAGGTTTTCTCGGAGGGCAACCCAGAGTAGGAACTTGCCGGACTCCCGGGAGAAGCGTTAGCGAGGTTTTCTCGGAGTGCAACTCAGGAGGGGCCTGTCGAACTCCCAGGGGCAGCATTAGCG